CCGTGTCACAGATAGAAATGTTTTGAAATCTGCAACCATAGTAAAACGAAGACTTATATTTATGATATTTATTTTATATATTTAAATGCCATTGAACAAAGAAAAATCAACCAAAAAAATGAGTTCGTGTGTCACCTCTGACACGCGTGTCATAGGTTCTCCAGCACTGTCCTATGTTTATGGATGAGTGAGACCCCAATCCTGCTCTTTAGGAGCTTGGAGTCCACTAAAGGCCCGAGACCTGAGCACTGAGCCTCCCAGAGGCTCCTCCGGGGTCCCCCTGAGCGGCGCCGTGTTCCCCCCGCAGTTCTGGCAGCGCGGCGAGTGGGTGCAGGTGGTGGTGGACGACAGGCTGCCCACGCGGGACGGGCAGCTGCTCTTCCTGCGCTCCGGCGAGGGCAGCGAGTTCTGGAGCGCGCTGCTGGAGAAGGCCTACGCCAAGTAAGTGGGGGGTGAGGCGCTAGGAGACCCTCTCACCTGCCCCCGCGCCCCCAAACTCAAGGCGTCACATCCAAGTCTTCCCCGGCACCTGGTCCCCCATGGGCTGGACCCTCAGTGACGGAGAGAGACAGAAACTCGGGCTGGGGGTTGGCCCGCTCAGCTCTGTCCACAGGAGCGTGTGCGGGGGGCGGGGAGCCAGGCTGCCTGAGCTTTCTCTTCTCTGGAACCCCACGGGCAGTGTTCAGGCCCATGTGGATTTTGAAAAGGATGATAAAGAAGAAGAAGGAAGAGAATGCGCTCAGATACTAAACTCGCCAGAGTCTACTGACCGCTGGTTCAACCGTCCTCCTTCCCAGTGGCAGGCGATGCCCAACGCCTTCTCCTGGGTTCCTTCAATTAGCTTCGCACCCTTTTCTGTAACCCCGGCTCCTCCACAGCCCTGTTCCCACAGCAGGTCCCTCGGGGTGTCCCTCAGCCTTGAGGGAGGGTCCCCCTCAGCCCTGTTCATGCCCCACAACCCTCAGAAACCCACAAAGCGAGGGTGAGCTTTGGAAAGGTGACGCTTGGCAAAGGGTGGCCTGGGGGGAGGGAGGTGGTCTGAGATGCGTTCCTGGTAAGGAGCTGAGTTGGCCACGTGAAACGGTGGCCCAGCGCCTTCTTGGGCCACAGTGAGCTCTGTAACCCCGGCTCCTCCCCAGCCCTGTTCCCGCAGCAGGTCCCTCGGGGTGTCTCTCAGCCTTGAGGGAGGGTCCTCCTCAGCCCTATTCATGCCCCCCAACTCTCAGAAACCCACGAGGCGAAGGTGAGCTTTGGAAAGGTGACACTTGGCAAAGGGTGGCCTGGGGTGGTGGGAGGTGGTCTGAGATGCGTTCCTGGTAAGGAGCTGAGTTGGCCACGTGAAACACTGGCCCAGCTCCTTCTTGGGCCACAGTGAGACGTGGACTCACGGTGGGAGTCCCAATTTCCCCTCACTGGTGGGGCCCCTTCGGTACCGTGGAAATCGCCCCAAGAAGGCAGCCTTGGGTCCTGAATCCTCACCCCTGCTTTGCTGGCCTTGTTGGGAAGTAATTTTGGGATTTGGGGAAGCAAACGCGATGATTGACAACTCGATGGACTTGGAAAAAGCGAGAGGGTCTGAAACCAGGGGTCACACCCTGGCAGGGGGTGGCTGTACGGGGTGCCAAGGTGGCATGGAGACCCAGGCCCCTGGTCTGTGACCACCTGCTCCTCCTCTTCCTCCTGCTCACCTGGTGGCCGAGGCCTGTGGGTGGCATGTCTCTATGAAGATCCTAGCGGGACATGTGTGTTTCTGGTGGGGGATGACATGAGCATGGGGTGGGGGAGGAGGCTGTGGAACAGGGAGGATGCTGGGAAGCTCGATCCGTGAAAACAGTGAGAACCAGAACTCATCCAGGGCAGCCACGTGGGTCATTATCCCTCCTGCAGGCAGCGGGAGGAATGAGTTCCCGGCTCTGTGACATTTTAAAGACTTGGCAGCCACACAGCGCCCTGCTCGGAACGACAGGCCTAAGGAAAGGGGGTGGGGTCTCACGGAGAGGTTCCTTTTCCCTGCACCCCCAGCCCCACCCCGAGGCCCCGGGGCTGGGTGGCGTGTCCTTGGGAAAGCATTATAGGACCAGCCTCCACAAGGTCAGGGGCGGCCACCCTGAGCGGATTGGGTTCCCGACGCAGGTCTCCAGCGCGGCCGAAGTGGAAGACATCACCCGCCAGAAGCTGGTGAAGGGCCACGCGTACTCGGTCACGGGGGTCGAGGAGGTAACACTGGGCAGGGGGAGCGCAAGGGTAATGAGTCATGATGTTGACCATCAGTCCAACTGAGAGAGGGGGGGACCCACCTGGTTGAGGCCTCTCTCTGGCTGCAAGGGGTCGTGGTGCACCTATGAATATGGATTTTGGAGACAGACTGGGTGCCTGACCTCCCTGTACTTCTTAGTAACTAAGTCATCACGGGTCACTTAAGCTCTCTGAGTCTCCGATTTTTGAGCTGCAAAATGAAGATAATAACAGATCCATGCCTGGCCGGTGTGGCTCAGTGGTTGAGCGTCGACCCATGAACCAGGAGTCACGGTTCGATTCCCGGTCAGGGCACATGCCCGGGTTACAGGCTCCATCCCCAGTGTGGGGCGTGCAGGAGGCAGCCCATCCATGATTCTCCCTCATCATCCATGTTTCTGTCCCCCCCCCTCTGAAATCAATAAAATAAATAAATAACAGACGCAGCTCACAGGATTGTCGTGAGGTTTAGATGAGGGGACAGCGCATGTGGGGTGCCTCGTGCTGTGCCTGGTCCGTAGCCCACGCTTCATGAATGCTAACTGCTGGGCGCGGAGTATATATCGGGCAGGCACTTATTAGCATTCGGTCTCATAGAGTAAGAACGGAGTCGGCTATAAAACCTAAACCCACGTGAAAGGAGACATAAACTTGTTTTGGTGCTGGATTTATTATTTATGCCACCAACTGGCGAAAAACAGAGCGGTGAGCCCCGGCCTGGAAACACTCGTTAAAAGCAAATGGAAGTGTGGCTGTTTGGGGACATTTGAGAAACGGGGTGCGGCTCTCGACGTGCAGACACGGACGCAGGGCAGCTGGGGGCCACCGTCGTCATCATCTCCATGGCTTTTGCAGGTGGATTTCCGTGGACGCCCGGAGAAGCTGATCAGGCTCAGGAATCCGTGGGGCGAAGTAGAGTGGACGGGCGCCTGGAGTGACAAGTAGGTGCCGTCCCCTCTCCCCTGGGGCGGCAAAGCGTCGCACAAAGACACAACCGTGATGACAGGGGCGGTGTAGTGAGTCCCTGGTGCTTCCCACCCTCAAATCACGCAGCCTGTTCAGAAAAGGGTAGCCATGGCCCCAGCCTGGGAAACACCAAACAGACAGACCCCACTGCGCCGGAGTCTTGGATGCTGGGTGTCTGCGGGGCCTTTGCACATCGGGGTCTGATCCATCCATCACAATTGGGTTCCCTCCGCTCCGCAAACCCTGGCCACGCTGACAAAGGCCAGGCCCCCCAGCGCCCATAGGAAATGGCCGCTTAGGAAGCGAACTCCATCCCGGGGACCAGCTGGCCGCAGCGGGCAGTGATGGATGGAGTGGCCCGCGCTCCCCGGAGCTCCTGGCGGCCGGGTATTAATCTTTCCCGCCAAGCCATTAGCGGCCACAGAGGCCCCTCTGGGCTGGGCCTCCCCGCTGGGGAGGGAGGGGAAGTTAGTGTGAGATAGTGGCTGGACTGCGAGGCCCCCCCATGATGTCCCCCGACTGCTGTGCCGTGGGATCGAGGTCTCCGAGGGTGTCGAGCATGTGGGAGGGTTTCCTCCGTGGACTGCGAGCCCCCCCATGATGGCCCCCGACTGCTGTGCCCTGGGATCGAGGTCCCCGAGGGTGTCGAGCATGTGGGAGGGTTTCCTCTGAGTCGCCACTGCTGGCATGGGGCGGGGGGGTCAGGGGGTGGCTGTCACTGGGATTCCTGCCTCACCTTTTCTTTCCAATGGAATGGGCCATCCTTCCGGGTCTCTGACCTCAGGCTCAGCTTCCCGTCTAAGAGGGACGCCGGCCTGGCTTAGAGGACATCCGTGGGGATGAGTAGGAGGGGCCTCGTTAGGGGGACCCCAGTTCACGCGTCCTTCTCTTTGCTTGGCTGTTGAGAGGTCTGAAGGGCGCTGGTAGGTACGAAGGAGAAGTGAACGGTGGTGAGGAGACTGGACCACAGCCTCTGTGTTTGTGCCTGTGGCTTGTAGGAAAGCAGAGCACTAGCCCCGTAGCCTGACCCCTGTGCTCAGGAGGCCCCCAGGCAGGGGGACACATTGATATTTCTCTCTCTCTGTCTCTCTCTCTCCCCCCTTCCATTCTCTCTCTTAAAAAAAAATCAGTGGGAAAAATATCCCTGGGTGAGGATTAACCAAAACAAAATTTTTTTAAAAAAGTCATTTAGCCCTAACTGGTTTGGCTCAGTGGATAGAGCGTCGGCCTGTGGACTGAAGGGTCCCGGGTTCGATTCCGGTCAAGGGCATGTACCTTGGTTGCGGGCACATCCCCAGTAGGAGGTGTGTAGGAGGCGGTTGATCGATGTTTCTCTCTCATCGATGTTTCTAACTCTCTGTCCCTCTCCCTTCCTCTCTGTAAAAAATCAATAAAATATATATTAAAAAAAAACTTTTTTAAAAAAAGTGATTTAATTCCTCCCCCGCCCGCAGTGCCCCGGAGTGGAATGACGTGGATCCCAGGCAGAAGGAAGAGCTGGACAAGAAGGCCGAGGATGGAGAGTTCTGGTGAGGAGCTGCCCGCAGTTGGGGTTCACCCCCGCTTCGGATGTGGGGTGAATCCCTCGGGTGATGCAGAAATTCGCTGTGGTTCCCGGCCAGGGCAGGGGGCCTTCATCCTTCTCCCCTTCTCCCCGGCGTGATCTGCCTCTGTGCCAGGATGTCCACAGCGTTGGCAGTGCCAGCCCCGGGCCCTCAGCGTGTAGCTCTCACCTGCCTGCCTCAGCTTATCGTCCCAATGGAATGAGCCATCCGTCTGGGTCTCTGGCCTCAGGCTCAACTTCCCGTCTAAGAGGGACAGCAACCCTGGGGTGGGCTCAGGAAGGTGCTCAGATGCCCTGGACGCCGGCCTGGCTGAGAGGACATCCGTGGGGATGAGTAGGAGGGGCCTCGTTAGGGGGACCCCAGTTCACGCGTCCTTCTCTTTGCTTGGCTGTTGAGAGGTCTGAAGGGCGCTGGTAGGTAAGGAGGAGAAGCTAACGGTGGTGAGGAGATTGGACCACAGCCTCTGTGTTTGTGTCTGTGGCTTGTAGGAAAGCGGAGCACTAGCCCTGTAGCCCGTCCCCTGTGCCCAGGAGGCACCCTGCCCTCGCCTCCCCAGTCCAGCTAGCCCAGCTCTCTCTTTTTTTTAAAAAATATATTTTATTGATTTTTACAGAGAGGAAGGGAGAGGGACAGAGAGTTAGAAACATCAATGGGAGAGAAACATCGATCAGCTGCCTCCTGCACACTCCCCACTGGGGATGTGCCCGCAACCAAGGTACATGCCCTTGACCGGAATCGAACTTGGGACCTTTCAGTCCGCAGGCTGACGCTCTATCCACTGAGCCAAACCGGTTAGGCCTAGCCAGCTCTTTTGATGAGCCCGACCGTCCCTCTGCCCCCAGGATGTCCTTTGCGGAGTTCCTGAGGCAGTTCTCCCGCCTGGAGATCTGCAGATGGTCCCCCGACTCCCTGAGCAGCGAGGAGGCGCACAAGTGGGACCTGGTGCTGTCCAATGGCCTCTGGGCCCGGGGCTCCACCGCCAAAGGCTGCCAGAACCCCCCAGGTGAGCACGGGCCTAGGGCCTCCTGGGCTTGCCCTTCCTAGGGGCTTTACAGGTTCCTCTTTGGGCAATGCCTTTGCACTCCGTTCTCTGGCCTCTGGGCACC